GTGCGTAGTTTTTTCCTTCTTGCCATTTATTGGTTGGTCGGAAAAGTCAGAAAAAATTTGAACTCGTCAATTGAAGTATCTGGAAAATTTTAGTATTAAAAAAAAATATTACATCTCAAATTCTTGGAGAAAAAAAATCATTTCCAACAGTTGAACAATTTTTGCTCATGTTAAATGAAATTGCCCGTTACGCGACGTTGCCGAAAACTCGTAAATCGCGACCGGGCAGTGTTATGTAGAGTGAATTAAGCAACGCTCGAGCCTGAATAACACGGCGGCAAATCCCCGCGGACGTGACCAAATCACAAGTTCGCGTCATGGTGACCAAACTAGGGTTAACACCCAAAAGATTCCAAAAAACAGCGCCCTTTATCAGATACGCAACTAACGTATATAAATGCAGTATTCTACGTTTTGCATAGGAGGGGTAGAAGTTTCTTACTCTATATAATTTGAGCTGTCCGTTTCTTCGGAAATTCATGACAGGTTCTACAAAATTTAAGAAAGGTCCAGAACGGTACAGAATCCTCTGAAAAGTTCGCGAATTGTCTGGGAAATTCGCCAATTTTCCGATGGCAATGGATGTTCCAGAAGACTCGAATGGTCTAGAAATCTTTAGGAATTTCGCGATTAATTCAAAAGCTAACGCTTCGGAAAATTGTGGAAGGTTATTCTAGGAAATTATTAACGATTCCAGACCGATACAGCAATTTCCTGCAGGTGAATTTTTTAATAAATTGTGCGTAATTGTATCGTAAGATTAGCGTTAAAATTGATAAAAACTTCTCAATTGATTTGAGAACTTACCTACGAGACCCATTCATCATCGATACACTTTCTACATACGCCGACAATATTTTAGAATATTCTAGACTTTTTTGTCATTGATCGGCTAAATGTCGATTTCAACATGAACAAAATTGGACCTCCGTAAGGCACTAGTGTTTATAATTTTCGGTTATTTCCATTTAGTTGCATGGCAATCTTGAAAGACCATTTTCTGTTTAAATGAATGCAATTTTGGTATGAATATGGCTTTACACCACAAAAACGTTAAATACTGCATTTCTATCGGTGAAAATGCAAATGAGGGAATAATACCACCAAATGCCCCTTGTGCTCCAAAACGGTAATAAATTTGGAGCACTACAGGCATTATGGCTGAATGTTTAAAAATTTTAAAAATCAAAAATATGTTCATGTACATTTTCCTGATTTTTATCAATTTTCATGGAATAATGGAACTGCAATTTACAGGTTTCATTGTTTTTTTCAAATTGTAAGTTATCAATAGAATTTTACCTTGATAAGAATTTTCAAAAGTATCGCCAATGTTCGCCAACAATATTTTAATTTGAACTCTGTAGTTTCTCTCTAAAACCTCCTAGCAATTTCTCCTTCCAATTGCACAAGAGTGAAAAACCCCAACATTCCGTCGTTAATAAAGCCCAGATATTCAAATAAATGTACACAAGCTCTCCGTTGTCTCCGCTGAATCTTGCATCTCTCAAAGCGCTGATTCTTCTTGCATTCTTCATACATTCGCGATGAGCGAGAATGATGCCGCGAGACTTGCCTCATTCAATCTCAAATAAAACAAACCAATCAAATCAACACGGAGAAAAATATTTGCTGAAATTCATCAAATATTTGTTGAATTCATCGGCTGGTCCTTAAATTGAACAATTGTTGAAAAAAATGCATTAACAATAAACGATTAAATTTCAACAATGAATTGCTAAAATTTAGCGATGGAATACACATTTTGTTCAGAGTCAAATGATTTCAGTTTTGTTGGCCGTCCACTTCTTTCAGTGTTGAAAATTTTCGATTGAAATTTCCGGCAAACTTCTTATTTGCAGTAAACTTTTATCACACTATAAAAAACGAATTACACTGAATTTTGTCTTTAAAAATGAAAAATTTTATGGAAAAATCTACTGAACCTGTAAATTTCATCAGTTCCATCATGAATATTCATGTCTTTATTCAAAATTCAAGTAAGTTGGGAAAATTTTCATCGTCCTTCTGCTCAAAAATTTACAATTTCATTGAATTTTTTGAGATGCTACAATTTTTTTCCTCCTTAATCGCGTTGAAAGTCACTACTCTTTTGAAAATTAGTAGTCAACTCCCCATGGAATTTCACTCTCAATCGATGCCTCTGAGTTCAATTTCTTTGTAAGTGCATTCGTCTCTCCTGTTTGACCCTCAAGGACCTTCGACTGTTTTAGAGCTGCGGGGCTCCATCGGCCCCGAGCTCTAAAACAGATAATTTATACCACCCATATCTCCAAATGTTTAGCTACAAAAGCGTTGTGAACAGTAAAATAGTTATAAATAATTCTTTCAAGGGTTATAAAGGGTTGTAACGTATATATGATTACTCCTAACGATATTCAATTTATTAAAAAAATACGCATTAGTACGCGATTGGTTAGTTCACCGATCTCCAAGCAGTTTTTGGGGATGTTCCATAGCTCTATTTTGATTATACCACACTGACAGAAAATATGGAAAGACTCTGTTGTTGTTAACAAGGCTTCCTAACTATGACTGTTATTCGTCAACTATTGACGGATGGTGTTAGCCGTTAAGAAGCCTCGATTAACAATAACTAAATCTTTCTGCACTGTTAAAAATGTTCGTCTGACTTTTCCGTGGCAAATTTCGGAAATTTTTATCATGTTCAAGTTTCACTCAAATTTAAGGAAATCATGTCATTGAAAAATCAAATATTCCATTTATTTTCTGTTCAAATGATCTGGAAATCAATGAACTACTTGATGTTTCTGTTCGATTATTCTGTGAAAATAGAGAAAAATCAGGAAAATTCAGGGAAAAAACGTTAATTCATGTCATTTTGTTTCTGAATATTCATATTTCACTGAAAATTCAATCAAGTTGTGAAATTTCCATCTCACTCTCACTGGAAACTCATGAATTTCCGTGAATTCNTTTTATGGAAAAATCTACTGAACCTGTAAATTTCATCAGTTCCATCATGAATATTCATGTCTTTATTCAAAATTCAAGTAAGTTGGGAAAATTTTCATCGTCCTTCTGCTCAAAAATTTACAATTTCATTGAATTTTTTGAGATGCTACAATTTTTTTCCTCCTTAATCGCGTTGAAAGTCACTACTCTTTTGAAAATTAGTAGTCAACTCCCCATGGAATTTCACTCTCAATCGATGCCTCTGAGTTCAATTTCTTTGTAAGTGCATTCGTCTCTCCTGTTTGACCCTCAAGGACCTTCGACTGTTTTAGAGCTGCGGGGCTCCATCGGCCCCGAGCTCTAAAACAGATAATTTATACCACCCATATCTCCAAATGTTTAGCTACAAAAGCGTTGTGAACAGTAAAATAGTTATAAATAATTCTTTCAAGGGTTATAAAGGGTTGTAACGTATATATGATTACTCCTAACGATATTCAATTTATTAAAAAAATACGCATTAGTACGCGATTGGTTAGTTCACCGATCTCCAAGCAGTTTTTGGGGATGTTCCATAGCTCTATTTTGATTATACCACACTGACAGAAAATATGGAAAGACTCTGTTGTTGTTAACAAGGCTTCCTAACTATGACTGTTATTCGTCAACTATTGACGGATGGTGTTAGCCGTTAAGAAGCCTCGATTAACAATAACTAAATCTTTCTGCACTGTTAAAAATGTTCGTCTGACTTTTCCGTGGCAAATTTCGGAAATTTTTATCATGTTCAAGTTTCACTCAAATTTAAGGAAATCATGTCATTGAAAAATCAAATATTCCATTTATTTTCTGTTCAAATGATCTGGAAATCAATGAACTACTTGATGTTTCTGTTCGATTATTCTGTGAAAATAGAGAAAAATCAGGAAAATTCAGGGAAAAAACGTTAATTCATGTCATTTTGTTTCTGAATATTCATATTTCACTGAAAATTCAATCAAGTTGTGAAATTTCCATCTCACTCTCACTGGAAACTCATGAATTTCCGTGAATTCTACTTGAAACTTGAAATTTCATGACCATTTTTTCCCTAAATCCAATTCAATGTCACTTTCATGACACTTACTATATCTTCCATGAAATTTCAAAAAAATTTCCAACAGTATATCAGTGCACCCATTCGACTCTTCAAACCTTTTACACTGTTAGAAAAAAAATGAAATTTGGTGACATTGAATGCAATTTAGAGGGAAAAATAATGAAAATTCAGATTTCATTGAATTCAGATTTCAATATAAAAATTTTGAGTGGCATTATGATAAGAATTCCTCCACGTATTTGAATTTTCAATGAAAACATGAATATTCAGTGTCAAATTACACCGAATTTTCAATTAATTTTCCATTAATTGAAAATTCAAAAATATATTCACCAGACTTTTACTGATTTCTATCAATTTTCAGGGAATCATTACACTGATATTTACAGTTCTCATTGATTTTTCCATGAAATTTGAATTTTCAACGAAGAAATCCCTTGAAATTTCAGTGGAACTAAAATATGATGCGAAATTCCAAAAAGTGTATCCAAAATGTGAGCCAAAAACTCTTAACAGTGAGATGCCATGATCGTTTTATTTATTTTTCTCGTTTGACTCTTGTAACGATTTGTCTCTTGGGATCGTTTTGCTCTTCCTCTCTCCCGTTCGACCTCGTCATTATTGTTCGACTCTGACCAAAATATCCGATTTGTTAAATTTCAAAAAATATATTCTACAGTGAATACAGCCCCCACTCCAGAAGTTGTAAAAAAATCGTGAAAACAACATCACAACTCAACCTCCAATTGCGTGCAGGTATTATGAAGTTTAAAAGAGCGAGACAGTGAGAATAATACAGGACGCCCCCGCATGGGTTTGACAGTGTAGGAGGGAACACCGGGGGTTATACGCTTGTCGTGGCTTGGTAGTCGGTCGCGCATAAAACGCTGTGTCGCTTCGTACCGCTCTGCACGTTATAGTACTCCCTCTCTCTCCTCTTCTGTGTTCTGTGCTACACCGGACGTGGGCTGGCCCCCACAAGCGAAAATACAAGCGAGTAAGAGGCCCAAGCATTCAAGAGGAAGAGAGATGGAGCGGGGGAACAACACAAGAGTGTCTGGCCGGAGGAACTGAGTGGAGTAAACTCGACAGTCGAGCCGCAGCTACCGTGACGAAAGCCTCGTCATCCTTATCATTCAATTCTCAGTTCATTCGAAACTTCATGTTTCCTCTTGAACAATAACATTCGAAGTGAATCTTGATCAAAATAGATCAACCAATTCTTCAGGAGAATTAAAACCCATGGGACTATTCGAATACTTGAATGTTTATCAATGGAGGAAATCGAGTGCAAAAGTGATGACAAAAAATTGTCACCTCGCGTTGTAATTGACCGATGACTGTGCCGAGTAAAATTGTAGTGCGGTGACTCGTCTCGGTAGTGACTCGACGCCTCACGGAATTCAATCCGAGTGGTATTTTCAATAAACCAGAGGAATTTCCCAGTGATTACAGCGGTTTTGTTACCAGAGGTGTGGCATAACCGCGTTTAAAAAATATTTTAATATCATTTTCCATTTGTCCATACCTGGCAATTAAAGGTCCACGCACGTGCGGCTGTACAGCCGTCACGCGCACCCCCTCTCTCATTTGCATTCTAATCCCGATTTAGTGTATTGAATTTTTAACACTCACTGTCTGTCCACTTGGTGATTAACTTATCATCTTGTTTTTTTTCCTCTGTTCTTGATGTTTGCAATAGGTGATAAGGGATGCTGAAACACGTATCGATATCGCCGTGGCGCAGTCGATCGGACAGCGTGAGTCTGGCATCGAGCATCGGTGATACGAGCAGTTGTGAAAGCGGAAGTCCAACCCCAGGTCACACACCACCACCCTCGAGGGCATCATCATGCGCATCGCTGGCACCCCTCACTGCGCTCTCAAGCTTTTCACTTGCTGACACGGCACCTCAACAGGTATACACTGATTTTTTTCCCACATTTGGCCGTGAATAGGGAAAATTTTCGGGCGAGATGAATTGGAGATGAAATTTATTTGTTATTTCACACCAACACCAGACGCTTTCTTCTTTTTGCGTCTGTCTAACTACCACCGTGGGAAGATTCTCGCAGTCTCTCGTGTTTGTTATGTATCGTCTCGTATGGCGAATGAAAAAAAAAGTTTATGAACGCAACAGACACTGGGCCCGTTGGGGCCCCCACACATGGTTACGATGATATTTTTCTCTCATTTCTCCTCACGTTTTTCTAATCAAATCTCATATTTTTTCGGTTTCCCTCTCTTTAAACACTTGAGCCTCCGATAACCGAGACGTATTATGCGGCGAAGTGTTGAAAAGAGATAAAAATAGCGTGCAGTTAAGTCACTCGAATCAGTTTAATGAGAAATAAAAGAGTCATAGGAGAAGAAATAAAGGAGATAATGAATGAAATGAGACTGAATTGGTTTAACCGGCTGGAGGAATTTTTCTGTTATGCTTCCTCGATGCAATTACATCTCCGGCCTCTGACTTCCGTCGCGGTGTCCACTACGGGTTGTTTCCGGTCCTCGAGCCGCTCTCTCGTAGAGGACGATCGTTCCCATCTGTCGTGAGGGGGGAAATTCTCCGGAGAGGCCGTACATCCTGCGGGCTCGCGTGCGCGTGCGGGCGAGGGATTGACGGAAAAATAATAAGGGTCGAAAGGGGGGGGGGGGAGGAATTTAAATCACGTTGGTATGTCTTCCCTTGGAGGATCGATTACCCAAAGAAGATCTGAGTGGTATTTATAAAGTCGTTTCCCGGGTTAGCTCTGGGATTATTTGGTATGTGAGATTATCGATATATACTGGAGACCTGTTTCACGTTCGATTAGTTCCCTTTTAATTGTACAAATGTTTATTCACTAAATGCTGCTAAATATCGAGGACCAATAGATGATAAACAAGTGGATAACTGAGTTTTTTGGAAATGAGTGTGAATGTTCATATTGCGTATGAACTAAATGAAAATTTAGTTCATACGCAATACTCCCTCCCGTGTTCACTAATAAGCAGATGAAATTTTATTATTGAATTTCAGGTTTTGGGGGTGAGGAATCTGAATTTATTTGCTATGTTTTCCTCCAGTCGTGCAATAATTTGTTATATACAAATTAGTCCCCATTTTCAGTAAACAAATTATTTTCCGCAAAAACCGGGAGAGATGCCGAAAAATGTTTCGAATAAAGTTATTCCTATTTTTCTTACGAATAACATGATTTTTGACTCATCGAAATTGGCCCAATAGTTCCCAAGATATGATTTGAAAACTGAGCGCGGGTGGATAGACTGCGCGGAAGACGGGTCACTATGGGCGCGAATCAGACTATCTAAACGAATATCATCTGCTTTCGTATGCTGTATTCCACTGGATAACTGCATAGAGGAATGATATCCGTAATATATTGATTATGTCTGATTTTTCCCATACACTACTCTTTATTACGGGCAAGGGACCAAACGCGTTGCGTGCTTCGGGAGGACGATGTAAAAATGTCACCGGCAACTTATGATGATAATATACAATTCCTATTACCAGATGAACGAAAGTCCCCTTTTCGTTGAAGTTAAAGATGTCTACAAGAATAAAAGAATGAGTCAATTATATGAAAATTCATCAATTTATACTCCACCTTTATTCATAGGGTTTTGGCAAAGTTGAGATAAAGAGTGTAGTTACAATAAGAAATACAAGACACCTGGTTAGCTCGGCAAGCACAAGTGTTACGTGACCATACTTTACACGTGCAAGAAGGAAATAGTTAAAATGATGGAGGAATCAATTTAGTTACTCGACTGGGCTTGAGAATGCCATTGACATTATCAAGCCCAAATAATTCTGGATTCAATTTCTCCCTCATAGGATCAAGACAGTAGATTCTATAAGGATCTATGAGATCCTACTGAGATCCTATAATCCGCGCCCATACTGACCCGTCTTCCGCGCAGTCTATCTACCCGCGCTCACTTTTCAACTGACATCTCGGGAACTATTGGGCCAATTTCGATGAGTCAAAAGTCATTTAATTCATAAGAAAAAAGAGGAATAACTTTCATTCGAGGCATTTTTCTGTAGTTCTCCCGGTTTTTACGGAACATCATTTGTTCACAGAAAATGGGGACTAATTTGATTATGACAAATTATTGGGCGACTGGAGGAAAAAAATAAAAAAATTCGGATTCCTCGCCCCCAGAAACATGAAATCCTGTGATAAAATTTCATCGACCTCTTAGTGACCACGGGAGGGTGGTATTATGTATGGACTAGTTAGCAATTTGCTCCCGAATGGATTCTCGTCTTTAAAACTGTTGTTTTACTATTCTTTTCTTTTCGCTTTTTATATGCTGTAATATAATTAGTAATTTAAATCTGTCGTGAATTGGTAAACTAGGATAAGTGCATTTTTGTCGAAAACGCGTTTTCTGGCTAAATCACGCCCCAACAATGGTCAGGAAGCGATTTGGTTTTGGGAAAAATTTTCGATAAAAATGCACTTATCCTAGTTTACCAATTCACGATAGAAATGTCATCATATTTGTTGTACAATATTCCGTAGTTTACATTATCTTGCCTTGAAATCCGCATGAAACACGACTTCGGTTCCATTTCCAGGTTTCCAAGAAATTATAAAAATTAATTGGTGAAGGACAATACTCCACATTGCGTCCGCATCATCCATATCGACGTTTCTCTGAGATAATTCGGTACGTGAGATTATCAAAATATACTGGAGACCTGTTTCGCGTTCAACTACTTCTCTTTATTCAATTGCACAAATGTTTATTCACTAAATGCCGATAAATATCGAGGCCCCGATAAATATAGAAGGTAAACAAGGGGATACTTGCTTTATTTATAAAGAGTATATACACGGAGAGAAATATTCAAGAAAAATTACGGAACATTTCACGTAATCCGCAAGCGAGAATCGTTGTCACTGAATTTCTATAGGAATATAAGAGAATAAATCTGAAACATTCAGTAAATTTTCGGGTCTGTCACCGAAAAAATACGAAAAAGTCACGGAATTTTTCTGGAAGTTGTAAAATCTAACAGAAACTTCAAGACTTATTATGCCTCAGAACATGAAAATTCTTGGATGTTTAAGATTTTTTACGAAAAGTTCCGGAAAAATTACGGAACGTGTTAAAATCTCCCCCTCACGGTGACTCAAGGCTAGCCCTGAGGCGTCGGACGGATGAGTAATTTTTACGGAACAGATCGTAGAATTTACGTGACGATTGACACTTTTTATTGAATTTTACTTCGCTCCCAGATTACGTTTCGAAACGTAATTTTCACGTCTTTTTTCTGGTAATTTTTATTGAATATTATTCTCCGTGTACTGTTGCTAACGACTTAGCAATTAGTTTTTGAATGGATTCTCTTCTTTTAGAATTTTTATTTTACTATTCATTCCTTTTTTCGTGTTGTATATTATACTATTAGAAATTTTTTAAAATTTCATGGAAGATATAGTAGATTTCATGAGAGTGACATTGAATCGGATTTAGGGAAAAAATGGTTATGAAATTTCAAATTTTAAGTATAATTCACGGAAATCCATGAGTTTTCAGTAGGAGTGAGATGGAAATTTCACAACTTGATTGAATTTTCAGTGGAACATGAATATTCAGAAGCAAAATGACATGAATTTTCAATTTTCCCCTGAATTTCCCTGATTTTTATGAATTTTCACAGAATAATTGAACTGAACAATCAAGTATTTTATTGATTTCCAGATCATTTGAACAGAAAATCAATGGAATATTCGATTTTTCAATGATAAGATTTCCTGAAACTGTAGTGGAACTTGGACACGATAAAAATTTCCGGAATTTGACATGGAAAATTCACGATTAGTAATTGAAATGTTATCATATTTATTGCTTAATAACCCGTTTTTCGCATTATCCTGCATTCTAACCCTCATGAGCCCCGAATTTGATTTCGATTGTAGGTTTCCAAAAAATTATAAAAATTAATTGGTGAAATACTTAACATTGCACACCACGTCATTCACGTCGACGTATCTCCGGTATAAGTCGGCACGTTCAATTACTTCGCTTTATTTAATTACACAGAATGTTTATTCACTAAATGCCGTGTGAATTCCATTTTTCGAAACCCGAGTAATAGCCAACGACACGAAATAACGCAGAACTGCCAGAATAAACATCTCATGCGCTGAAAATAGTGCGAAATATGTTTAAACAGTTCTGTGGGAATTTAGAACTGTACAAAACATCCTGAAGGAATTGTTTCACAGTTTACCTTATTCTTTTTGTTTTCGCGAAAAAATGAAATGCTCCCTCCTGCCATCTGGCACCAAGGTCTCTCGGTGCCATGTAATTGCGTCAAAACCAGCAACAGATGCATCACGTTTAAGCGGTCAACGACGTGCCAAACCCCAAAAGTTCAATTGCAGTTGCTGTATCTTCTTTTTTATTCTTGAATAAAGAGGAATGAAATAACAGAAATAAAGTTCAATGAAGGAAGGAATGTATATCGATGGCTGGGAGGAATAGCGTGATGAAGGGGCTTTCGTCGGGTTTGCGGTTACGAATGCAAAAGTAACAATGAATAGAAAGCCTTTGGGAATTTTGTTAAAAAGAAGAATTGAGTGTTTCTCGGTGTATTCCCTGTATCACGCAACATCCATAACACACGGAGGTTCTCAATTTCCGTTCCAATGGATATTTCAGTGATGAATACTGATAGACGTATTTATTTACTAATAAATTATTAATATTCTTCACTAATTAACGAGTGTACATTTAAGGGAAAAAATATGAGACGCAAGACTTCCATAAAAATCATTTATTGATAACAAATACTCGTCCATATATGCACTGAAAAGAATATAAACGTTTCCCCAAACAACACATTTGAACTAAAAATATCACAAGTTGAGAATTGTCAAGATAGAAATTGTCT